AGAATCTGTTGTTGAAGTTGACTCCTGAGACTTTCTTTGATTGGTTCACTATGAGATTTCAGGAATTGATTCAAGCCTCACTTGAGGATATGCACTCAAACGTGCACTGAGTTTGAACCATCAAAGCAGGAGAGGACATGTACTCACATGGCCGAACGGAAGCACTTGCTTCCCAAAAGAACATCTTCACATGAATGAATGTTCCGTTTTGACATGCTGATTGTTCAGAGACTCAGCACTTTGTCATGATGGTTCTCACTTGAGAAATTTGAAGCACTTGCCTCTCTCTGAATGCCTGTTAACAGACCGTTTCTAATCAAACAAACGCAGCTCTTATTCTCCTTTTTCTTCATCTCTCAGAACGCAGCTTCTTCAGTGCTGATGCGAGCTGTCCTGCAGTTTTCAACGGCCGTGCAGTGGCACATCTTTTGCATTGCCTGAGCTCAAGGAAGTTGGAAGACTGGATTTCCTCGAAGTCTTTGGTAATCTTGACCCCACAGCTAAAAGTGTCTGCTCCACCGGAAGCTACTGCATGGACTATTAAGGTCTTTCTGTTCCTGTACATCAACATCTCAGGGCCCCAATCTTTGGATCGGGTCACTGGGTCTCCTTCTAGGTCCGACTCCGAACTTTCTTGGGATTCGCTTGACGATTCCGAAGAGGAGGATGATGATTCTTCTTCTTCGCTGGCATGTTCCCTTTCCTGAACAATCGGAGGTTTGCTTGGCACTGGGTGGCTATAAGACAAGCTTGGATCCTGCACGCTTTCTTCCCTAATCATTCCAGATCTGGTGGCGTCTGGTGAAAAGGCTCCAGTTCTAATCTGTTGTAAAACGAGATCGAAGTCACGGAGGGGCTTTGCAAGGTTGTCTCTCCCGTAACACTCAGCAGACGTTTTGCCTGTTGAGTGATGACCAAGCAGTGCACGTATGTCGGCCACTTAGCGCACCATGATAACGGTGTCGCTTTCAAGGCATGAATGGTTGTGAAGATGGCATCTCCTTTCATCCCTGCCAGGATTTTGCGGAGCCATTTGCCTGCTTCCGTTGTCGTCACAGATCTGCCAGACCAAGACCCATCGGGTGTGGGTGCATTGAGCATGGGCTCGTTGCTAAGCGACTCTACAGGTCGGTTGGAACTCTGGCAAAGCTTAATGAAAATTAAACCCCATGGAAGATTCCCTACTCCCCAGACAGGTGCGACGAGAGGCATGGCTAAACCGGACTTGGCTACTAATCTGGAGGTCTTATGCGACCTTGTTCTGCATTCCAAGTACCCAGAAATTTTGCCTTCTGACTCCTTGACATCTTGGACAAAACCATAGATCCTTTTGACATCTGACCACCTGCTTCGGCTATAAAGACAGAAAAGCATCACACCGCATGCGACTCTGTCGGTAAGGCTCATCTTTTCATTGGTTAAGCATGACTCCAAAAACTCAACTTCTGCAACCGTCAACACTCTCGCTTGCTGTTTCTCAGGCTTCAGAGCGTCACACACTTCTATTATTCGTTGGACCTTTGCAGAAACCAACTCTTGACCAAGAGGAGCAACGTTCATCCTGAGGAAATGCTTGCAGAAATTCAGGGCTTCCAGGAAGCCTCTCATGGCAGACACAGTTTTCCCGTCCGCCTGTAATGCAGAGATGTATTCTTCTACCAAGGCGGAGTTCACCGGAAAAGGACATAACGAGAAATACTTAGTTCTGTACCATCTGATAAATTGAAGAATGCTTGAACCCCTTCTGATGATGGTGTTAGGGCTCCTGGTACCGAAGATCAACTTCATATCTGAAAGCCTATGCTCTGCTACGGCTACTCTCAAGTTGAAACCCTCAGGCCATGCATCCTCTCCTGAGGCAAAAATGAGATACCACTTTTCCAAGGCTTTCCTTTCAAGGTTGTCTTCCATTTCCTGTTCGCTAAAATCCAAATTGAAATTGATGACCTCACTGAAGGCTCCACGGTAAGGCTTGGTGCTCGGCAGCGGGACTGCCTTGGAGATGTCCTTCTTTCCGGAGGTGATTTCAACTGGTTTCAAAACGGGAATAGGTATGAGCCTCTTTGGTTTGCGATCAAAAACTGTTCTCATGCCTGGTCTTTCCCACGGCATCTTGAATTTGAACACGGCTTGGGTAGATAGACAACTATCCTCGATCATCGACCTCAGGTCTCTCTTTTTGGCATCGCTCAATGGAGTGTCCGAAACATCTCGGCAGGGCACGGATGCTTGTGGGGAGTCCGAACGTGCGTCAGGTTCCAAAAAGTCTTCACCCCCAAACAAATTTTCAGATACATCATCTGTTTCATCTACGTCAAGAGGCAATGGGACCCTCAGGTCTTCTGAAACAACCGATGACGAGTCTAGTCCTACGGCGTCCAGGCTTCCGGTCGTTTCCTGATCCTGGATCATGCAATTCCGGTGCTTTGCTTTCGACTGCAACCCCTCTCAAAGGAAAACCAAGGAGGTTCCGGCTGGGAAACTACGGATGCACGGATGCAAGAGATCTCGGAGGGCGTACTTCTGATCCGATCCTGTCACAGGACGCAATTATTGATGAACAAATGACAAGGAGAGTCGTCCGAAGAAATCACTACAACGCAAAGCAACCACAATAAGAGGATAATCTCTTCAGAAATCAGGCCTTGACGCCAGCAGAGGTCTGTCTCAAACCTAAAATTCAACGCATGTACGATCATAAACATGTATTGATGATCTCTGAAAGGTTGACACTTGTTATCAACTCCAACCTTCCGAAATGCTGAGATATGGTCACTCGACCTATTCATTCAGATCGACACTCGTCGATACGTTGATGATCTATCACATTGGAATTGACTGAGGTGCGCACAGAGAAGAGAACGTCAGGTCACTCGACCTGTGTTCCACTTTATGGACACTCGTCCATGGACATAAGAATCAGAAAACTCAGTCAAAAATATTCAATTGATCAATGTGAAAAGGATGAACATCCTGTTTCAGATGAGGCTCTGGCTGTCTCGTGATCACCTGATCACACTCCAGTCTGGCTGGACAATGAAAACGTCTTGCCAGTTGAGGCCTTCTAGTCATCAGTCACTCGACTGTGAATTCACCGGGGCTCTGACGGAAGAAGGAATGTGCCGATTCCCCCCCCCACTTTCAAAATTGCGCTCACTTGAGCCTAGATCAAAATCGACTTCCTGATTGCGCATGCTCTGCCAAACAGAACCGATCAACTCAAATCTGAACTCACTCGAGTCCATGACACTTTGGGTTTCATCAACATGAGCAATTCGACATGCGTCTGATGAGAGGAAGTGTGGGTCATATAATTCTGGGATAATGCAAAGGCACCTGCCCGGTTCAATCCTCATTGTACGTGACCGATATGACAAAAGACATCTGTCAAATGTGGACTTCACTCTGAAATCTGTGATAAAATTATGAAATCTGAAAACAGTGCGCAAATCCCCCCGATGAAAACTGTTTTTCTCAAAAAGGACACGGTAAGTTCAGCAGCGCGTGGCCAAAAGCTGAACTGCTTCTTGGAAAAGCCGAGGATGTAGCCAGAGGCGTTGATCCAGTTGTAATTGAAATTGTAAAATTGCAGGCTTGGGCCTTGAACTGTACTGTTGCTTCTGCTCCAAAAAGATCTGCGATGCAGGGTTACACACCTCCTGGTGTCGGTTCCAGATCACTCATTTGAAGGGTGAGCCCCAAATCCGCAGCCAGATGTGGGAATGCGACCCCCAAGGTTTCAATGAGGGAACCCAGGCGCTGTTTTTGTTTTTCTTTTTTTGACAATGAACATGATGTTGATGATTTCGAATTTGTTCATGTTTACTTTCGTGAATTGATTGACATGTCAAGTGTTGAGATGAATTAAAGACATGAGTCTTGGCACTTGCCATGTCATTTCTGTGGCACTTGCCACATTGCTTCACTTGAAGCTTGAATCCAAAATTGCAACATGATGAAAAATTCGACACATCATCACCGTAAACTCAAAAGATTCGAAAAGATGTTCACTGAAAGAAAACCACCATTCTTGAGATCTATTAAAGTTCAGTTTACATCTGACATTCTCATCTCAAATGTTGTTCAGTGTCACCACAGGCATGTAATGAAACATTACATTCTTCACGTTTCGTAGTATGTAAAAATCTATCATGTTCCATGAGAGAATTCATATAGTATATATAGTATTTTATTGTATAGTTACATATACGCAGTCGTTTAGCCCTAAAAGTTGAATTGATGTGTATGGAGAAAATAGGCTTGGAAACCTAAAAAGCAGCCTGAGACAAAAAACAATCGCTAGATTTTTTGCCATTCCAGCTGACTAACCCCCTTACATACTATGTACATTTGGTCAACCAACCAAGCATGGTTTGGATACCCAATACCCAACTCAGTTTGGTCCATCGCTTGCTATCTCTGAACAAAATTTGAGAAGAGGAGAGCTGAGAACATTCGAATCGTCTTTCAGATCTGGTTTCTTGATCAAAATACCAACTTGTTGTTCTCTGAGTCGAGAAATGCTTGCAACCATGGCTTCCAGTCCTTTTTCATAAAGGCAACAAAACTATAGATGGAGGATCAACACAGGCAGTAAATGTTTGCTATATAAGATTTAATAAACCAGGTGATCGCAACTTGGCGATACCCAGGGCTATCCAAGTCCGAAACTGGACCTAGATTTACCGCTTGCCATTATGGTTTTGATCCCCGCTCTTCTTGCCAGCTCAAAGCACTGAAACCACTTCGACCCACCAGACCCAGTCGCAACTTGATGGTAAACTGGGTTCGTCATGCTGGGGATTTTCTCATATCTTGCCAGATCCCCATCTCCGGCTCCTGATTTCTCCAAAATCACTGGTAGGGAGCTGTTTAGAACTTTAAATGGTCTGTAACTAGAATGCAGAATACATACATAATACATAATCCAATAATATCCAATATAATCCAAACGTAATCCAAGCATCTTCAAGCCCTTCCACCTGTCTACGCCCAGGAGCCACATTAACCCGGTTCGGCAGCGGGCGAAACTTCTCAGGGATGGATTCCCAGGTGCGACCTCGGCTTCCCCCAGTGGGCTCCAGCAAAAGCCAAAAAAGTGGGGTGGTTGAACATATAGAAATCCCTAAAGAGATTCTACAAAATGTATATGTTTTGGGGGGGTTACTATAAAGATTCTACAAAATCTTAGCTTTGTTGAGCCAAATTCGATGTTGGGATGGGAAAGAATGACAAAAAACATCAGTTCCCGGACACATAAAAAACAACATAGGCTTTCTGCAAGTGCCTGATTCCTGGGGGTTGTCCTTCAATGCTGGGTTGCAGGAGTGCTTGCGAACCACCAACTGGGACAAACATGGTAGGGCAGGATTGAATCAACATTGACGGGGCGTCGACTTGAAACATCTTGAAACATGTCAATGTCATACAGACTTATCGGTACCTCAAAAAATGATTGCATCTTGGTATGCTTTATGCAAGAACAACTCGCCATGTTTTCACAGATTCCGATCGTCCCTCAGGTGACCCATCGTTGTGACCCAAAACTGACCAAACTGATCCCAGCGGGTGCCCCAACGTCCCATGATGACTGCGTTCTGCTTGCCAGATTCCACTGCAGTAGTCACCTTTATGGACACCCCAATAGCTGGAGGCTTCAAAATCGGGGTACCCTCTGGTAAACAGCCACATAGCAATGGAAAGATCCACCATTTTATTGCTGGGCAAATCCACTATTTCTATGGCCATTTTCCAGTTCGCAAACTGTAAACGTTTACCAGATGGTACCCCCATTTTTGGAAACCCCCATAGCTGTTCGATGAAAAGCTGAGTCGATCGTCGATCTTTCCACCTCACCGGCCCTTGGCCACTGATCAAGGAGCACTTTCCAGATTTTTCAGGATGAAGACAAAAAAACCGATGGCATTGAAGAAAAAAGATGGTCTATGAAGAATCTGGAAAATGGAAAAGTGGTCTAAAACTGATCAAATCCGTAATAAAAAGGAGGTCTATGAAGAAACCGATGGCATTTCTCCTTGGAGCTGAGCTTTCCAACGTTCTTGAAGTGACTCATATCCTGACCAGATCGCAAACAAACGTCCGTCTCAGTCACAGCTGCCGCAACAAACACTCGCACTTAAGAATCCTTAAGAATCCAAAACAAACCCTGAAAAAGAATGAATCAATGGTTTTTCCTGGATTTTTCACAAAGCTGGTCAGAGAAACCAGCCAACCTCGCAACCTGCAGCAACAGAGTGAAACCCCAAACTACACAAATGGCAACTACTAGCATCTGAGGCAAGCACTCAGGTATTTAAGTTGCACAAATTGATGGAAATTATACAACATGAAAGGCCGATTTTGAGGAGTTTGGTTCCTGCGTATCGGTACTGGGGATCCTGGGAGGCTTGGAACATAAGCCCTGGCCAAACCTCTGGGTCAATGCGAGAAGAAACCAGCCAGAAGAAAAGTGGCACACCTATCGTCGACCCCAAAACCACCAACCCGGGAGTCGACTAAAGATAGGGAAGCAGCCTTTGTTTTTTTGGTTAAACCAGCCGCATTCTCTGGACTTGTGACATGCTTCGCTCAGTCCTGTGGCAATCTCCAAGGCAGTGTGCCATCCTTGCCGATGCCGCCCTTGGGCCTGGTGGCGGGAAAATGTCGCTGAAGCTGGGTCCTTGATGGGCAATCCCTTCCCTCCAAGCAAATTGAATCATGAATAATGTGGTTAAAACAATGCCATAAACCATCCCCCTAAATCACCATGAATAGGTGGTATAAACCATTCCCAAATGGGTGGTAAACATGGCATTGTTTTAACCACATTATAAGCAATGATCAACAAAGCCCCTGGGAAGAAAATGGGCAGGATCCTGCAGGAAACTAGTGGATTACAAAAAATATTTTAAGAGGCCCCCTCCAGAGGAACCATTGATAATAGTTCCATTGCAGTAACCTTAGTAGTAAAAAGTACTCCCCTAGAAACCCTTTTTTACCATTGCATCTACAGTTATTCCTTTTTGGAGGCCACCTAACTTTGACTGTGGTAGTGCAGCGTCCACTGGGGTTTGAATCAAGCAGTGGTCTGTACGTGGTGCCCGACTCTGTCCCGAACTGCTGGAATTGTACCCTGACAAAGGAAACACCCACGAGAAATTTCAAAACAAAAATGAAGAGCTGGGCACCAAATTCAAATCGGGTCGTGAATGACCTTTACTACAAGGTGATCGACCACTTTAATACGGTAGCAACATGGTCTTTTACGCGAAATCTCTGCGATGGCGCACGTGCTGGCGACAATCACGGACACCGGCATTTGGGCCATCCTGGCCATGGCTGAAAACGGCCCCCAGATTCCAAAGGATTCTCATCATTTTCATCACAAGAATAACCATTTTTTGGCATCCCCCATTTTTGAACCAAACCCGTGCCCTTCATATTCTTGGGTTTGCATCATAATGAGTATATACACCCAAATCAGCCACGCAATCCCCAGACAACAGTTTTAAACTGAATCAAACCAGGGATGAAAAATCTGGAGATGGGTGGAAATGCTCAATTGATGGCTGAACCAACCAAAAAACACCGGTGCCAATTTGTGTTTTTTCCTGCCATGGAAGGTCAACATCAGCAAAACAAGATGATTCCAGCCAGGTCCAGCAAAGCCTTACCTGTAGTCCAATTTTTTGGCAAAACATCTAAAGTTGGCTAAAACAAAAACCACTCACTATTTTTTTTTATCAATGAAATGGATCAACCATCCAATGTGACTCACCGGCGTCCTGAGATTTTCCAAGTCCCCGAAGATTTGCGTCGAAATGCTACGTGGACGCGCGGCTTGAGCACAAGTGTTGCAACCCAAAGCAGTCTCATGGTGTCATGATTCAAAACAGTTTCTACTTCAATATGGACCATTGTCTCATTGACATGAAAGCCAATCAATTTACCGCCCTCACATGTTGAAGCATGAATCCGAACTCCTCACCAATCAAAGTGCGGTTTTGGAGGGTGACGAATATTGTGGATTTCCATTGCTGCGGGATGACAAACCACCAATAATTGACATGGTCGAGATGGGTTGAAACCACCAAACAAGATTCGATGTTTTAAGCGGTGCGACGAAGATCAGGGTTGTTGGACGCGTACCTAACATGTGAGAAAATCCAAACACTTTCGGGGGAATCATTATCAAAAAACTAATAACAAACAAATCCTCCAACTTGATCCAGATGATTTCCAAATTTGAAGTATTTACGGGACGGTGACACCTCCGCAATTGGACAAATTCTCAAGTTTGACACAAGGTCTCTCGCCCGCAACAAAAAATTACCAATTACCAAAGTTGATCACGACTTGTCTATTCACCAAGGTTTTTTGCCATCGGAAAAACAAACATGGCGATCACGAAAAACAAAACATTTTGAAATTTACTTGCCATTAACCCAATTCGAAACCTGCAGGCCTCTTGAAATTTCAGCGTTCGCGTTGTGAAAGCGTGATTCCCATCGCCGGTTTGTCATGAACGCCTGAAACCACGTTGCAACCTTCATCACCCAGTGGTTTTGCAGAAACAAAATGGTTGCTGATTGCTGATGGTGCCAAAAAAAATCATCTCCCAACCTGGCCCTGAAACCATGCCACAACAAACGGAACACCTACATGAAACCGCACACCAACTGAAACCAAACGCACGCCAACTAAAACCGAAAAATTTGTGACGGGAACATGTTTTCCAAGCATTTCATGCCCTTCTACCGTAGCCCTACACATGTGGGGGGGAAGGATATGCTGCAAACTGTCCTACAGTAAGCACGTCCCCGCAAGCATTCCAACATGAACCCACCCTGGAGAACGGATTCTTAAATAAGGATTTCCGACCTTCAACGCGGCCACGTTCTGAACCGATCCCAAACATTGCACAAACACAACACAGCACCCAGCCACAACACAGACATATGCCGGAAGGAATTCAAACGCGGCCCAGACACATCCGAACCAACGCTTCCCAGATAAGTGAAAACAAGTTAGACACATGCGCCCCACAACCACAAATTCAGCCATGGCAAGATTCAGCCATGCGGTCTGATATCTTATCTGACGTTCGTTACTGACATGTTTTATCATATTCTATCTGACGAATTAATATTCTAACATGTTTCCTGGCGTTTTTATCTGACATACTATCATTCAGACGTATTATCTGGCATTTAATCTGACGTTCTTACATTCTATCTGACATATATTCTGACGTTTTATCCGGCAACCGACATATTTTCCGACGCTGTATCTGGCATTGTACCTGACAAACTCGTTTCTTTATCAAAGGAAGTTGGGAAGCAATCTTCCGAGTTACGGATGATTTTTACCTGATGAAGGGTGGTGTGAGACTGTGGTGTGAGACTCTACATCACATAACAATCCACTCAATGAAGGGTGGTGTGAGACTGTGGTGTGAGACTCTACATCACATAACAATACACTCAATGAAGGGTGGTGTGAGACGGTGGTGTGAGATTTGACATCACATAGCAATACACTCAATGAAGGGTGGTGTGAGACTGCGGCGCGACACTTGACATCACATGACACTACGCGCGTGTAGTGGCTGCATGATTGTTGTCATGCTCTGTTGCTATGTGCGTAGATACGTGCAGGTTTGCGACGGGATACTGCGAAACCCGTGTCAAGTGGCTGCGGCCGGCGATGACAGGTACCTCCTGTGTGCGGCGGGTGCGGGTGCGGTCGTTGTGTTTTGCAACGAATGGTTGTTTCTGTGTACGTAATCCCTTCCTCCTATTACTAAACCCCGCCCAATTACTAAAACTAGTGATCTTCAAGTTTGGAAAATTTGAGATTGGCCAATTTGACTTTTAATTGATCCCCTTTAGAGAACAATTTAAAAACAAAGCTACCATTTGTGGGTTTTCCCCCCTCATACTAAAAACTAATTCACCCCGGGGTGTTTATTATTAGGGTCCGTCCGATTTTTGTTAGTTTTTTATATGAAGGTTTTTAATTTAGTATTAGGGGGAAGCTTCGAAATCCAATTTTTGGCAATATTTTACTTGCGTTATATAAAGAAATTTAATTGATTTTGAGATCGGAAAAATAGTTTTTATCATTAAGGGTTTTAGTTTAATATTAGGGGGAAGCTTCGAAATCCAATTTTTGGCAATATTTTAATCGCGTTATTTAAAGAACTTTAATTGATTTTGAAATTGGAAAAAATAGTGTTTATTATTAAGGGTTTTAATTTAATCTTAGGGGGAAGCTTCGAAATTCAATTATTGGGAATATTTTAATTGCGTTATATAAAGAAATTGCATTGATTCTGAAAATCGGAAAAAATAGTTTTTATTAATAATGGTTTAATTTTATTAATAGGGTTCCCTAATAATAAATACCCCCCTAATACTAAAAACTACCTGCCGTGTTTATTATTAGGGGAGGGGGCGTTTACTATTAGAAGGAAAGGATTAGTTCTATGCGTTTCTTGAATCTGTGGTTGCAGATCTCATTGGAATGGTTGCATGATTGTTGTCATGCTCTGTTGCTATGTGCATAGATACGTGCAGGTTTGCGACGGGATGCTGCGAAACGCAGTGTAATGGCTGCGTGAATGTTGCCTGGGCTTTGTTTGGGGGAGGAAGCCAAAGCACGAAACCTTGTGTTTTTCCATGTAAAGTGGCCGCACCCACCAATGAAAGGTACTTGGGAGGACCGCCTTTGGGAGTCTAAATTCTATATACCTTTCCAACCCGAAAAACGTGGTAAAACCGAAATTTTGCATCTCCAGCCTTCTTACGGAATCTGCTGGAATCATAAAATCGAAACTCAGCAGTACGGTTTGTAGACAACAAAGCTCCTGGGCTTGATCTTAGGATCGACGAGAAGCTGCGCAATCGGAACAGCCTCAGCACTGTGGTCGATGGATACAGCCACAGCCAAGTTGAGCCCAAGGTCAGGTTGAACTTTACCTCCATGGGGCCAGTCGTGTAGACTCGAAGTAATTACTTCATCTCCAGGTATCACTCCAGAATGCTGGGGCAGGAATGCCACAGTCTACCCCCCTTTTAGGTGATTGATTATAGTCCGCTACGAGGATGCCTCCAGAGTAGCCTCTACCATTTTGCCTTATCGCTGTCGGAAGTTTTTTTTCCTCGGATGTGGCCGATAATGCTCAAAGGCTCGGTCCTGTGTGTGAAACTAAAAGAGAAGAAAGAGACAGAAGTCTCGTACAAAAGCCTGTACAATATTGCTGGCATCACAAAGAAACAAAACCGGGCGTCGGACAGAAATGCACATCCCCGGGTCAGATATGCGCATCTATCCACGCAAAAACAAAACGAGAAGCAACAGAACATACCAAACCACAACACAAGAAGGGGCCAGAGCCCAAAAAACAACCATCACAAATACCGCCACCATAGGCACTGAAGGAGCGGTTGGCTCCATCATACCTAAATGCACTTAATTACGAAGCATATGCAATTAATCTCAGGCGAGTTGCCGTGACGTGAAAAGTGCAACTAAAAGGAAAGGAGAACCTTCTATACATCAAGCAAAACCGCGTCTCTCAGCATCCTCTCAGATCTGCTTCTCCCAGTCATCAAAACCAGATTGTGCGCACTGTCCACAAAGCTCGCAAGTCAGGGCGAGTATGTGCGACAGAGCTGAGTGTCGAAGGTAGCGGCCCCCCACAGGGGGGCAATCAAAATCAGCCGTCGGAGATGGCAAGACAGCAGCAGTAGACACGAAGTCGCAGCAGCATCCGAGGCTGCTCATATATATCTAGAGCTCGTCACAAAAGGTTGGTCGAGGTGCATCCCAAACGGGATCGCAGCTTGACGAAGGCCACGTTCGATTGGGGCAGCCAATGACCGCCAAAGATTCCAGTAGATCATAGAATACAGCTAGCTTCGTCAGAAAGCTGTGTGGGTGGTTTGTCGTCCTTGAGGCTAAGTTCATCTGGGGTAAACTGACGACCAACCGACTGGAGCTGTGTAGGGAAAATACAGAGGAGGCCCGCACATGCGAAGCCTGATTTCAATTGACTTTCCGGCCCCAGAAATGGAACCTGAAAGCGCACATGTGGTATCAGCTGTCTCCGGTCCCTATAGCTCCAATGTGGCGATTTGCGATGCAGCACCACCCAGGCAACATTCACCAATCCTTCGCTACCCCGCGCTACTCCGCTACTCCGTGCTATGTTTTAATTCAATTACCCAATGTAATTGACACGATATCGAAACGATGGCGGAGTAAGAAAGCCTTCAATACGTCACCTTGCCACATATTTTCCGAAGCAGATTCCTACTCCATCCCGTTTTAAATTTATACTATTATTAATAACGGGATTGACTGAAAAGATCATGATTCATGTTCTTTCTGGGCTGAAAACTTCGGTAGGAGTCTAAAGGGGCAAGAGGGGCCAACAAGGGGCAGTAAAGTATTCAATACAATCATTCGAATGGAAGCTGGCAACCTGCGCGAAAACCCACAAACTCCTCAACAGCAAGAAACACTTCAAGCAATCACCTAAGGGCTGCAAAAGGCTGCAATGGGCCTTCTTTTAGCGGCAAACAATCAAGCCACCAGACGCAACGAAATAATAAGAAGCTAATTTCAAGTGGGTTCAAGCAGCAACCGATATGCACCCCGCTTGCCCCAACAAGAAACAAAATCATCTACAAAACTGTTTGCTCCGACGGACCCAATTCTGGGTTCGGAAAACCTTCTCAAAACCGGCTTCGCTCAAAAGGGCCTCCCCAGTAGTTGGCACGACTGGAGTGAGCTTACCTTCAACTTACGAAGGAAAGTCAGACATTGGTCAATCCCAACCT